CCCCAAAACCCCAAAACCCCAAAACCCCAAAACCCCAAAACCCCAAAACCCCAAAACCCCATAAAATATATTTCAATTGAAACTTAAGAATGAGCTTTAGAAATTAGTCGGTCAATCTCCAATTCATAATTGTATAAAAGCTTTTTATTAGTGTTTAGAAGAGGGTTAGCAAGAGGACCAAATAAAGGATGGATTATCTATAAAAGTTACTATTAGGCCCGATATCTGATAGCAGGAGGGCATCTTCTGGATTGAAATTTACTGTATGTCCCGCTTAATTGTTGAATTTAGTAGCAGCATACTCCATAGCTCCAACAGGAACTCTAGAGTTGTTCATTGATCTTTGGTTCATTCTTAATTTCTTTTGTTGACTTACTTCAGGTCCATCTTCGTTGTCCCAGTCATATTCAAATTCGCCAGCAATATTTCCAGTGACTTGAACATCTCCTGTTGGAGATTCTGGTAGATTTCCATCAAGATTTTCTGGGCTTGGGTTGCTCTGATAAGGTTCCACACCCCATTGGTCAAGTGGCTCCTTTACATCCTTACAAATTCTTCTATCATTCCTGGTGCCATACTTTTTCTCCCATTCGCTTAGTAGATGTTGGTTGGAATTTACCTTTCTTTTTCTAATAGGCGACTCTGATTTCTCTTTGTTTACTATTTTGGGAGCCTCAATGCTAGTTCTTGATTTTCGAGTGATCACCTTACTTTCTGTATTTGCTAACTGGTATTCCTTTGGCATTGGCTCAGGCTTCCTCTTCTTTGGGGTTGATGGGCCTTCGTCAGAAATATGGTTGAACTCATTATCATCATGCTCGATCACAAGATCAAATTTTTCAGTATTTTGTGTAAAGTAGCTTCCACTTGGAGCTAAACTATTCAGCTGGCTCTTCCTTTGCTCATCAGGAGCTTGAGTCCTGACCTTCTTCAATGGAATTTCTTGTGAGAAAGTGCCTTTTTCACCAACTTCTTTAGATATTGGGTCTGAGTCCCTCTTCATAGTTTTTCTAGTTCCTTTAAAATCCTCTCCAATTTTCTCCTTCGAGTTGCCTTGTCTTTGATTTTCTTTAAATTCTGGATCTTCTATATCATGGTTAAAAATAGTTCGTACTGGTGATATTCTTAAGCTTAATTTGTTTAATTTTACTCTTCTTTTTGGTAGGAGAAGCCTTAATTTTTCTGATATTTGTCCTCTCAAATGAGCTGCAGTCATCAAGGTCATCCTTTTGATCTGTTTCTAGTCTTTCTTCTCTGGAATTTCTTGGCTCTCGTGCACCAACACCTGAATCAGCTGAATTAGAACTCTGATTTCCTTCGTTTCTATCTGTGCTTTGATCATCACTGAATTCCTGGATGTTTCTTTTCGCCTTGACGTCATTCACATCTGGTTGATTTGTGTCAGGCATTCCTTCAACATCTCTCTCTTTTGGGTTCATGAGATTTCTTCTAAATCTTTCATCATCACCACCAAAGTGATTTTTGAATTCTTCATGATGATTTTTGTGAGAATCATGATCTTTGACTTCTTCCTCTTCTTCACCTTCAGCTTCGTTGATATATCTCGGATCCTGGAGTTCCTCGAATGGAATATCAGAAAGTGCCTTTATCTTCCCTTTATGGTCGAAATCAGTCGGCCTGAGATGGTACACTTCGTGACCAGGTCTGGTGTATTCATCGACTTTAAGGTCATCAATATTAATAGATCTTTTAGCCAAAATTGCTTTATTTGTATTCAAGAATCTTCTCGAAGCCGCTAACCCAGACCTCTCTGTCCTTGAAGGAGAAGGCTCTGAAATCATACTGTCTCTCTGTGGTGATTATCCTGAAGGGGTATGACCATTCTTTACCTGAGATTACTTCGTCGTTGTCACCAAGTTTGCTCACAAATAGAATTCTCTGCAGAGGAATTGTGTTTTTCTTACCCTTTTTCCTATTTTTAAAGTATACCAGACTATAGGTAGGGAGGTCTAAGAGGAAATAACGCTTGTTACTGTCACTTATGAGGGTAAGCGCCCCTATGTTCTTCCTCTTCTTAAGATATCCCTCAAAAATTCCAGTTGGGGCCATCATTTCTGCTCTTGACATTATTAATTGAAAATTATTAAATATTTGCAACTTCGGTTCTCTTCTCTGGGGTTTTGGGGTTTTGGGGTTTTGGGGTTTTGGGG